CCATCCAATAAACTGGGTCCTAAAAGACAAAAGAGATGAAAGACGGAAGCTAATACAGAGTACTACAGTGGGGTGCAATAAGTTTGATTACATCTGTAGGTATCTCGCACGTAATAGTATTAAATCGCCCGCTCTTGTTAAAGCGGCAAGCGGTAGTCGGCTTCAGATGTGAGTTAAGTACCGAATAACTGAGTTGTGATGAACTATTAATCTCAAAAGGTAATATAACTTATACTTAAATAAATGATATACGGATTAAGAAAGTAAAATACTAACTAGTAAAGTAACTTGATTTTAGTATACGGGTCAAGAAGGTAAAATACTACGGTATTATATATAGAATAGTGGAATCGGGAAAGATAAATAGAGATATATGGCCTACTCATATCTTGGGTTTCGAAATCCTTCATCATCGACAATACAACGAATCAATTACCCTATATCTTAACCATTCACTGGCCTGCCCACAATGACTCGGTTTCACCTTATCCTTTTACCATTACTTTTCTCCTGGTTCTCCTATTGTTTAGGGGAGTTAGAGGTGTCTGATTTGTCTGATCAGCCTCCTAGCGTCGAAAATACTTATCGGGATCAGGCCTTCAACGAAGAGGAGCTACTCAAAGTCGTGGACGAGCTCTCGGTAAAGCTAACAAACCATACGGAACGGGCCCTAGTCTCGGAAGCAGCACTACAGAGGCGTCAAAACGACCAATACCCTAACGGAGTTTGCCCGAGTGGAGGACGTTTTTATCTTGATGTAGATGAAGATAGGTCATGCAACAGTAAATGGGGAATTGCAACTCCCGACGAAACTAGAACGTTTGGCTCAACTGGTTCGGTTTGCGCAGGCACGTTCAGGCGGATCACTTGCGCTTGCTGCTTTACAACGCACCCCATCACGAATAATGATGTAAGAGGGAATAACTATCTTTTAAGAGGCCTTATTAGTTACTAACTCAAAGCCTCCTAGGCACCAAGAATGGACGGAATATATTGCCAAAAATGGGAGATCTGTAAGCAGGAACATGAACGATGGAGTAAATGGGGAAAATTGGTACCCCATACATCATGTGTAAAGGCGAAGAAGCTCACCGAGATCTTCATCGCTACCAAAAAAGTCGTTAAAGAGTACTGTACTCCTAAGCGGTGGCTCCCATCAACTGGCAAGGGCAAAAACGCAAAATTCCACGCCTGGGCATACAATTACAGCACGGGACAGTTTACAAAACTCAAGTGGATGTATTTGAAGTTGGATGGTCAATATGCTAAGTCAGCGCCAGGGATTTCGGAATGGGGACTCACCTACAGTGTCAATGAGCATAACGCCATTGAATTATGTGGCTACCCCTCTGACGATATGCAAAAGAATTCCATCGATGCCGAGTTACAGTGGGAGGTTACTTTAGAGTAAGGAGCTGAGTTACGGGTTTGATTTTCCGCCTAGAACACAGATTTAGTTAGCTACTAGACGCCAGAAAATAATCCTGTTAAAAGCTCTTACTCAGATTCGGAATTACTTTCGTCGACGAACTCAAGACCCTTCAAGGGTGGTTTGAACGCTACAGAGTTAACCTCAAGCACTCAGCTACTACCGGTATTTCAATCGCCAACATCCCCATGCTTATGGTGACGATGAATGCAGAGAACGGCGTGCGGCTCAAAAGGCTAATCGATACCGATATAATCTTTGCAATTTATTGCGACGACTACGTTTTTGGTTCTCCTTTAAGGACGTTCAATATCTTGTCGCGGAGGCTTGAAGATGATACGTGTCATTAAAGGAAGCGTAAAGTTACCGGGTCACGTATATGAATAGCTAGAATATTCTATGGGAAATCTTATCTCGAAACAAGTACTCTCAAAATATGCTACGCTAGGTAACGTGTTTGATAAGCGGGTGAGCCACTTTTTATCACCTAGATAATAAGATTTCTTCTAAAAACACCATAACCTTTTAAATCAATTAAAACTAATCGCTATATTCTTCTATATTAACCTCGATTTCCTCCTGACAGGTCCTTGCATTATGCCTGGCCTTGCCGTATTTGCTACAATGCATAACTTTTAGTCCCCTTGTCCCTCTGCAACCACTACTTCTCGATGACTCAGCCGCTACCTGCATATTAACATCCATCTGATCAATTACTTGTGAGGCCTCTTCTATAATTAGGGGCCCTCCTTTCTGTAGTATAGTTCTTTTTCCCCTCCGGCGCCGGCCTACTATCTTATTCTCTTGTTTAAGTTGTTTTACCTTATCCTCTAGTAGGACTATCTTATAGATAAGAATGCTTATTGCCTTTTTAAAATACCTAATAGCTTAGATAATTGACTCTGGGAAGCTACTTTTATGATTAATAATCCGTGTCTTTCGATACTTAGAATGTAATTGGGCCTCTAGTACTGTCTTTGGGGTCCTTGAAGCCCAGGGGGTCGAAGGTGCCGTGACCTCTATAGTAGGCGTCGGGGTCCGTAACTGCATATCCACCTTTGAGATGACATTTTCTGGGTCAAGGGGAGCAAGCCCGGCTCCTCTAAAACCTCCCCGGATATTACTTTCTGTAATAGTAGCTCGGTGGGCGGCATAGAAGGCGGGAAAGAACTCGGTCTTTGATATATACCATATACAACCCCCCTTTCGACAGCCCCACCCTTTCGTCAAGCAAAAAAAGAAAAAATAGCACCACCAAAAATGGACAACTTCACTTGTAAACAAATCGGCCAAAATGAGGGACATGTGCAAAATATCTCATCTCACAATAGTGAGCAACTATCTCTATTAGAATTTAGGTCTTTTGATAAGCCGTCCTGACCGCGTGGTCCGTTGCTGGGGTACGGCTTCCTCTCTCACTTCAATGACCGAG